CAGCGGTTGATCACTTGCACCGCAGAACTAAGTTACTCGCACTGGTGAATACGGCGCCGTCGCGGCGCAACGGACTTTTCAGCATACGGCGATGCTATGAATTTGTCGACCGTTCAAAAACTATACGAGTACTGTACGGGTATGGTAGTAATCCACAGCTAACATGTGTTAAAATCTCCCCGGGCCAATTGGTCGCTTCGTTCACATTCTGGAGCTTTTCTCGCTGATTTACCTACGAACTGTGCGGGTCCGTCAACAGCTCAGCTCAGGGCTAAATCCTGCAGGAGTAATCCGTCATCCATTGCGAGTGATGGTCCGTGGAGGTGCCTACTCCATAATATTTGGTGAGACTGATTTGTTTTTCTCCACCAGTAGGCCGATGTGCTTCGAGGGACCGTATGATATGTCTAGGATTTCCCCGTTCTTTTGTGTTTCGGTTAGCTCCCGAATTTAACACTGCTCATTGTGACAGGTTGGCGATTGCACTTGGTCGGACCTCCATTCTTTCCCTATGCTTCGTTCCAAACTTGGATGGCGGTCTTGTCCCGGAATGCGAAGCGCCCATCGAATCGTCGCTTCATTTTTTAGGGAATGGGAGTATAGCTTGTAGGGGATATTATGTCGGGCGAAATACGAGGCACCTGGCTTCCATTATTCCTCCAGGATCCTGATGGAAATATACATCCATCTAATCTTACCCCTCTGACGTAAGATTGTGCCGGTATGAAAGTTCTATAAGGACGGATTGCCAAATAGACCTGCCATCCCCCCCTATTCAAAATCCGGAAATTCGCGAGTATGGGATTTGTGCTAAGAAGGAACAATCTTAAGGAGTGGTGATGGCCAAAGGGTAGTGGTTTAGGAGTGCTTGCTGTTTTTTTTTTTTACAACTAAATTCCTAGGACCTGCCCTGTAAAAATTTTAACGACCGGCCTCCTTGGTGTTGCTCTATGGAACGAGAGTCAGTCGACAACATCCCCTCGGTTTGGGATCTGGCATTGGAGGCGAATTACACCATCTCCTTTTTCGAACTCCCAAGGCAGTGGTGTTAGTGTTACAGGGATACTGGGTGGAGGACGAAAGAAAGCAGCACTGCTATGAAGCAACTAAAGAACTATAGAAAGGTGGGAAAAAATATCGTTGTCTCTCATCTCTCCTACTACCGGTAAAGACAGGTGTATATATCAACTATCATCCAATCATCTCTGCCCTTCCACCGATCACCACACATCTCTCATGTCCCCCATGCATATCTCCACTCCCTTGCACACTCCCATGATAACAAAAGAAAGACATGAATGGAGAACCTTCTCTGAATCTCTTTGTATCTCTGAGATGAAAGAAACCATCAACACCCCCCTTGCATCTCCCGCAAACATCCACAACACCTGAGCCTTCCTTTCCTTCTTCAACAGTTAGGCTGTAGGATGGGGTCTAGAACAATTGAACCCCAGGCCAGGACGTTGGAGTCGCCTCTCCTAGTAGTACCGTACCGGTATTGTCCCTTATACATCTCTCTCGCTTTTGCGAGAATTCGTCTCAGCGGAGGGCTGAGTCTATTGTTTAAGAGTGACTCCCCCTTTATCATACCTAAAGTGGGGAGTTCCGGACGTCTTAGCTTGTGATTCAGTTCACGCTCTCATAGCAATGCTCTTGTGGACAGCTCGAGTCTCCTGCCTCCTCGCGTTTTGTGATTAGACTACAAAATCTGGCACGCGATATATACCAGTCTGGCACATACACTCGCCTCCTCCGTAAAGTTGTCGTAACGCCACAGGTACCCCATCGACCCCGGACCAAGATCTCAAGATGGGGGCCACTCTCCCTCGAGGGATCTTTCCAGATCTGGTAATGGGGGGTTCCGTGGTGAATTTTCCAGTTTTCTCTCTTTCTATTCTTTTCTGGTAGTAAACAACTTCTGCAATCTTTGGTGGAAGGCCGCCGAGACTTGGCCATACTTTAGACTTTACTAGAACTTTTGCCGGCGCAAGTGTACTAGTATAACCGCAAGTGCCTCCAAGCCATGGGGGAAGTGGAGGTAATCTTCCTTGATGGAATTTGCTCTCATACATCTAGACATGTCCGGTGGAATACCCATCCTCTGCCCTGCTGAGGATATTTATTCCAAAACATTACATTTATTACTGGTACTGTGAACCGGCAATCCGGTAACAGCCAAGGCATCGCCAGAATACCCCTTCCGCGGGCGATTAGGGCGGGTACAGTGCGGCGGAGGAGCAGCTTGGGGAGCGGGAAGATCCTCGCTGGCATTCCCGGTAGTGTACTGTCAGTGCTGCTCCCGGATTCCCCGAGCAGGTTGACATGGGTAATGTTTTTGAAGGATACGGTCCCATTTGTTGTCCTGGGATTCTTGGGTGGTACTGTGCTTTCCTGTTATGTAGTAGCGTCTCCCCTCGCTTATCTATGACGGTATAGCTTCCCCCTCCGCCTTAGGATAGGAAAAGGTAATGAGGATTAAGTTATCGGGAACGTCTTTGATTGGGATAATCGATTTAAAAGTGCAGGGGGGCTAATCGGGGCCCCCACCAGGACTTATGAGGTGCTGTCCATCTACTAGGTATTTTTCATGCTTCTGGCTTCACACTGGATACCTGTAGACTACTATAGTTGCCTGTCGTGCCTTTCCTGTTCCTGGGGAGATTTTCCAGAGGTACTGCCGAGCTTCCCCGTTCATTACTAAATTAGACATCCAACTATGTTGTGATATGGCAGGGGTTGTCAGGGGCTTCCTGATAACCTCATGAAAGAAGTAGTCTAGGCGTATGTGAGGAGATGCGGGGGATGGTATGGATTGGAAGGAATGTAGCCACCAGATGGATATCTGGTCGGTTGGGTTTTCTGTAGTATATAGTGGTCATCCACTTTGGTGATAGGAAGGGGGTTAATTAAGTCAATTAACTGTTAACAATTCTTGCTCATTCAAACGATCATAAACTCTTTACAAAAGTACCTAACTAAATTCTCCTTTCTGCTTCAAAATAACAAAAATAACTTGCGAGTGACGGCCCATGAACCGATTGGACATTCCATTCATCAAAAGCATAGCCTTCATCGCGGAAGGCAACATTTATCCATTCATAAACCACGTTCCCTACTGATGCTCCATGACAATACATTAAAGACTAAACATCGTGTCCGCAAGTACCCACTTGTTTTTCCACCTCTGGCACTGTCCACTTGACAGTATCCTTGACTTCTTGTCCAGCTAGAGTGCTAGTCTTATTCTTCGGGATCAAGTTGTGCCCGTCCTGAGCCAGCACCGCGAGAACGTGCGCAGCGGTCTAACCCATCCGGAAGAAAAAATTAGATTCCATCCATTCCAAATGCGTTAAAGAAGGGGGGAGCGCCATACCTTGGCGTTAATCGTCAAAATTGTGGAATTTGGATTCGAGTAGTCGTCGCAGGCCTGGTGATAGCACGGGTCCTCCGTAGCTCCGGTTCCGGTGTGCAGACCGCCAATGGGTTTCTTCAGGGCGTCCATGAAACTGGCATAGTCACTTGAGCCGGTGAATGGCACCGGGGTGACGGTAATGCCTTTTCTGGTGAGTTCGTCAACAAAGAGCTTTTCAATGACTTCAGATCCCGGAGGACCGGCAAGGCCGTGGGTGCTGCCGTCGCCATCAAAGACGCCAAAGTAGCCCTTTGAGACCATGTCAAAGTTGAGGTAGAGGAGAATCTTGTCGACTTCGGTTTGGTTGAGGTGGGAAGTGTAGTATATTGAGCCGAAAAGACCGTTCCTGAGCTACGTTAGCAGGGAGTTGGGCTGGTGGTATAAGGGGGTGGGTGGTACTCTTCTGCACCCCACCAGGCGAAGCGGATTTTGTTCTTGGCTTCGCACTTCTCGAGACTTGCGAGGAGTTCGAGGATCAAACTTGTCCCTGAACCGTCGTCGTTGATTCCGGGACCAGCTTGGACGCTGTCCAAATGAGCGCCAAGCTAGTGCTGACAATTAGCGCCCCCCTACGAAGGTCAAGTAAATGGTGATATCAACTTACTATGATGACATTGTTGGGATCGCCGCCCTTTGTCTCGACAAAGACGTTCTGTGTAGTTCTTGTCTCGATGAGCTGTGTATGTTGGAAGTATGCAGTGATCTTCTCTCCAGCGAGAAGCCTCTCCTTCAAAGCCACACCGTCGACTTGGTTGATAAACCCACTGCTCACAAACCCCTCTGGATCTGGAGCAGACAATGTGCCACCTGTAACCTTTATAGGGGAATTGTTGAAGATGATAACATTGGATGCACCTGCTAACTTTGCTGGCCGGATTCTCCCAGCAAGGGTGCCACCTGTTGGGCATAGTGGTCCTCTTTCCACAAGCACAATTTTACCCTTCACGTCAAGCCCGGCATATCCGTCCACACTGCAAGAAGCGTTAACCCCGGGTCCTAAGACAAGCGGGAGAGTGACGCCCTCGGGAGTGGTGGAGGGTGAGTATGCGAGGCCGTATACGTAGTAATCTGTTTCTCCAACTTTGAAAGATATGGACTCGACCTTGCTGAAGAAAGCAGGAAAGTCCTGGACCCAGGTATCGAATGTCCGGGAAAACCGACTGGTTCTCTCGAGAACATACTTTACAGAAGCTTCGAAACCGGGAAAGCCAAAGGCGCGATTCCCGCCATTTTCGCGTGCGATCTGATCCAACTGTTTGAGGTTCCCCATCAACCTTTCTTTATCATCAGCAATTGAGGTACTTAGGATGGGTTTGGGGGATTGGAACGGACGACATACTCAGCCTCTGTTACTCCATTTTGCAGCTTCTCCGAGGTAACAACCTCACCCCCAGCAGCCGTGGCCGCCAAAAATCCTGCGCAAAGATAGACTGAACTGAATTTCATCGTGAGTGATAGTCAATTGTCGATGCTGCCTTCGTCGAATACCTCCGCCCTCTTTATAGTGGGAAATTGTATTAAGCACCATACAACACACTTATTACCGGGTCCGTGTATTGCTGTTGGTGGTGCGATAGGACTGCATCATTCCGCATCGTATCTATTCGAGGGGGGTGCTGCCCCAGGATGCCTGGTTAGGTGCTATACGAAGCGGAGGCCGGCCGCTAGGCTGTGTGGATGATCCGGAGGGGTGGTTGCGATTAGAGCGTTATTCCGTTGAGCCAGGAACTATAGTCTCCAATACCTCCCTTAACTGTTGGTCTTTCTGTGCACAGGCAATGGATTCGTCGGTAATGGGTGAATTGAGATCTTTGAATCCAGCAATAGAAGGGGCTCGAGGCTTTCACATTGCAAGGTTCACCGCCGTATTCCCGGGAGGGGAGCACTGAAGAACAGTTGCTGGTGCTTTGTTCCACACAATTGAGCCAGGCGGGTTATTGCATTGGCTTTTCTCTGCAGAGACCGGGGGTGACATGTAACCGTCATTATTTTAGGTTTTGGAACACGTAACTCCAACTCGTGATAAGTTGACCGATTGGCCTTGGTTCACACTGGGCACTGATAGAGTGTCTTGCTCACTGGTGGGGTTTCTCGTATCGATATAACACCACTTTTCTGCGACATATCAACTGCATTTTTGCGAGGACACCTGGAATGGCGCCGGCCCGTGAGGTAGCTAAAATTTCTAAATTTCCTTCACCCTCCGTACCCACAATTGGGTCATTTAGCCAAGGGGTTGGGAAAGTGTTTCCGAGTGCCAAGATTCGGGTTCCTATACAGTAAAAAAACCCAAATAATTGGGAATCTCTCTAGGACGTTGGAGTTGCCTCTCCTAGTTAGATTTGTGATATATTTTCTTTTTATCCGCCCCAGCTAAGGGCTGAAAGAGAATATTTTCGCAGTATTTCCCCCGCCCCTACTCCGAAATGGGAAATTCTGGACGTCCTAGCGCTATTCCCAATTATTTCGGTTTTTCCGGTATGTCAGTTGTGGGAAAAAGAGGTATCTGCACACACCGGAGTCTTTCGGCTCGAAAAACTTTCGCAAACCTTCCTCAATTACATGGCTGAACGCCTATAAATCCCCCCCAGGATTTCAGGATCTATCATCAAAACGATTCTAAAGCAGCACTCGATTGCGAGTACCGTTCCCGCTTTTCCTGGCATTTCATTGGTTGGCCAAGACCTGAAGTCGAGGATCCAAGCTCGCCTCTCAATAGCACGCTATTTGTGTAACGCCATCATTGGAAGCACAGTGCTGGTATTGCAGGAAAAGTACGGTAGGATCGCCCTCCCCTATGTCGTGATTTCCGCATATAGTATTTAAATGCATCCCGTTGGGGGGGGGGGTTCAACGGTGCATCCAGCGCACAGTGTATTCAAGTCTTCAGCGGAATCCTGGCAATGTCGGTACAGTACCGTAGTTATTGCGACGTCATCGCAGTTGAATATCCGCATGATTCGGAAATTTCCTCGGAAAAAATCCTCCTGGTCAAGATTATTTGGAGGGTCTCACCAGATCTCGACGCCCGAGATTGTGCGAGTGCTGTGCTGTACCACTCGTACTCGTACGGTACTGTTGCGCATCACTATGCTCGGGTGGTAGCAAAGAGCTTGGCAGGCAACAACAGTCCACCTGCGGTGTACAAATACAAGTAGATCCTGAGTGGCCTGCGGCTTGAAAATCTCCGAAAATACGATCTCGGTAGTTTGTTATCATAAGCCGATTCCTGTCCCATTCTCAGCGGCGGCAATTCGTTGCGGCTTGGCGTTAAATACGGTAGGGTGGGGGCTTGCCTTATTCTAAACGTCGAACCGTTCTTTCATAGGACTGCCATTGCGTATGGGCAAGATTTGGCCCTTTTCGGTTCTGGGATTATGCTATACGATACCGGTGGCAGTACTCGTACACTTTAACAACGCTTCGGCTCGGAGCGGTATTTGTGCGCTTGCTCTGGATCCCAAGGGTACACCAGAACACCAACTCGTATTCTGGGAAAAGAGCGGACTGTCTCCGTGTCTTGGTATCTGTTCACATGAGAGCCTAAGGGGGCACGATAAGTTATGCGTGTTACTGGCAGGGGGGCGGTTGGAATGTCAACACCACACTACTCGTACCCGTCTCTTTAGGCCCGACCAGGTCAGTGGGAATAGTATTGGAGGGACAACCAAATCCCTTCGGGAAGGCCAACCTTAGGTCGGATAGTTGATCCAACCGCCATATTGATCCAACCGCCATATAATGGTTAGGCACCCGGACATGGTAGTACAGCGCATACGAAGCCTCTCGGCTCGTGAAGTGCTACTTGTGAGGGAAATGCTGCAAGAGTTGAGTCTTTCCCCAACACCAGAAAAGACTAGTAAAGACTAGTAAAGGAGGGCACTGATGAGTGATGTCGACAACCTTGCCTGCAACATTTTGACCATCAAATCGAACCTTCCCTGCTGCCCTTTGGATGTGATGGGAGACCCCCCAAAACCGGTTCTTGTTTTTAGTTCTCTAAGAATCATTATACAGCTTTTAACCCCATAACTTAAAGGTTGGATACCACGAGACAGGTTGGGTGTCCATCCACATTATAGAGAACAAGTGTCACTTATCACTTAGTTCTACTGTACATTCCGCGACTACGGGAGGGGTCGCTGGAGCAATCTAAATTCGGGATGCATAAAGCGATGAAGAGAGCCGTTGTGCTCTGCCAGAAGATGTTTTTTGTGATATTGCCCGATAGCGGGTTACTTGTTAATTCCCAAAGTATTATACTATCTCGACAAATTGTGTATTTCTATACAGGGCTAGTCCCACGGGGGGCGTCTTTGTTGCACACGGAAACGTGATCCGCAATGTGGGAGAATACTATCAAATACTGCAGTATCTTGGAGGATCTTGGGTGCGTATAGAATGGCGCTTAACCGGTATGAACGGTAGGAAAGGTACGGTCATGAATTTTGTTCGGTCATTTGGCGCTTCCTCCAAATTGATGGTAATGAAAGGCATACAAGTGAAATATCCTTCCGTCGGCCACCACAAGTCTCTCATCTTGCAAGCTGCCATTCCCCCACACATGCCGCGATAGTAAAGGAAAAACGTCTGTGGAGAAACTCCTCTGTAGACCATGAGAACTCCAAAGCAGAAGAAATTACCTCCGGCATTCCCTTGAGCTCCACTATTAACCGCAACCCACTATCCTCCGCCTGTGATGATACTGCACAACTTGAACACTATCCTTCTGGCGCCATAAGAGTGGCTGCATAAAACGGGGGTGTCAGGATAAAAAGCGGGAGTGCGCTTGTCCCGAGACAAGACTTAGGTCCATATCGCCTCTCGGGTATGATAATGGAACCCAGTCTTTCATTGTTCTTGCCCGTAGGTTTGCTGCAGAGTTTGTGTCCGAGTGTTGGGAAGGCATAGCATGCCGGCAGCCAAGAGGACGAGCGGCGCCGCAACTCTCGTGATGCTGGCAGAGAGCTATATATGGATGCGGTTTTGGGAAAATGACTATACTTGTGTGTTTTGTTGTTTTGAGTTAGGAGCAAATTTAGTTTGCATGCCAACCAAACCTGTTTTGAGAAAAAGAGAAGGATAGGTCTAATATTGCTCCATATTTAAATCTAGATATATTTCAAAGAGCTCAGAGCCTACTCTATCAGCTACAAAATGCTGAGAAGCATACAACCTGATCTGTGGCAACCGGAAAGTGTGATCATTTTCCCAAAACAGCACCCATATGATAGGATAAAAACCCCTTATTTGAAATCCTCTATTACATGTCCTGAATAGCCGTTGACACTTTACCTTCGGCCAGAGTATCAAGACGATAAGTACGCAGTTCGTTATTAAGAATGTTACAAATTTTCCCGGTTGTGTCAAAATCAGGAATGGATAGAGGCCGTCTAACCTCAGGTGTTGGATGGCATTCCCAAAACGTCCTATGGTAGTATACTAAGTTTAATAAGTAGAGGCTCAATCCTATATAATCTGACGATATATTCCTGCTTGATAGCTTTTCTAATACGTGAAACCTATGAGAAACAAAGCTGGTAGTAGGTGTTTCACTCCAATTATCCTTTTACTGAAGGATAAATGAAGTCTTCTCTCTGTGCTTGTGGGTATTCGTTTCTAAGGCTTTTTTAAAAATAAAATAAAATAAGTGCAATACCCAATTGCTCATGCTTTCAGCCTATATCTAGCCATCTGTTTATTGTTGTTACCGAGAAATAGTACAATACAGTGTCTTATTAGCTTAAACCACTTCACACCCATGCCATATCCTTTTAGCCCAAGATCAACAGATAATTGCGGGTAACACCATTCTCAGTTTATAAGATCAGTTCAGAATAGCTTCTCCGGGGTCCTCACCTAGTGGGATCTCTCCCAAGTAAAAGCACTAGTATGTATTCCCAAACAAGCACTGCAGGACAGACAGACAGTTACCAATCCACGCGGAGAAGCACTAGTAGTACTGATACCCTACTAAACACTCTCTCAGCGCGAGTCCTAGCTTGCCTACCGGTGCTTTACCCCGCTCACGAAGTTTACTCCATAAACACCCGAAAATCGAGCGCCATCCCTCCGAAAAATCATACCCGAATCCCCGGCACTGGGCTCAGTTCCCGGCACACCTTCTGAACCAGTGATCACGATATGATACAGAGAATATCTAAACTCTCCCATCATGGAATATCGCTTTAGCTTTTCTACTAATCCTACTATTCCGGGTAAGTTTCCACCGATTTCACCCCACTCCCCGTCCCCCGGCTCCCGGGAGGTATGCACAGTCGCACCCCGCCATCCCGGATCCTAATGAATCGGATACCTCTGGGAGATAGATAGAATCTTTCACCCCTCCAGATCCTCACGGAAATCACCCCTTAAACTGGAAAAGGGAGTTATCAGATTCATATGAGATTTCGGGGAATCGTACCCCCTGTCCCTGTTAGAAATTTAACCTGCTGAACTGAACGCTATGGCTACTGTTAGAAAAGTTAAACTAAAAGAGCAGAAAAGGATGGGCCGAATATAAAGACAGTGTGAAAGCAAGAAGGATGTGGAGATGGCAAGAGGGTATCACTAGTTTATAATTGACCTGAGGCCTAGAGGCAGAGTATGTCACTACTATTCAAATTATAGTAGTAATGTAGAAGACGAAATCCGCAAATTTGGCCATCCGGGATAGCGGGGTGTGATTGGATATCTATACGCTGTCTATGGGCCAGCCTGGTCGCTTGGTTTCACTGACAACATACCGGTATCATGACCCCCCCCCCCCGGTGCTGACATGACGGTGCACATATACGCCACCTGCCGCTAGCAGCACTGTTCCCGCTTGCACTGGGCTGAATTTCTCAGTGGTCGAGGGGATAGATTGGCTACCGGTATTGAGTACCGGTAATGCCCCCAGGGTCCAGCTGGCCAATCCTGCTTCCCCACGGGGCTGTAATTAACACAACCTGGAACAGACTCAGGGAATTTCAACAGTCTTTCCTGCATCGGTTTAACAGATAATAATATAAATTTAAGTTTAAAAAAAAGGAGGGGGAGGGGGGTAAGCAGCCCCTGGGACCACCGCCCCGCCAGAAAAATTGACCCTATACCCCAGCCCTTATCAACCACAAACAAAGCTACTTAGGGAGAGTTAAAACAACCGGGACTCTTTATCTCTTTTGGGTCACCACTTGCTCCTGCTCCATCCGGTCCTTGGTGCAAAAATCGAATGCCCCTTTTAAGATGGCCACGCTTACAAAAAAGTAGATCATGCGATCAAACCTTCTTCCTAGATCTTTTTGACCGGCCCCCAAGTTATCCAGCTTTGCATTTATAACTGCATACGACTAACTATCTATTAGCACAGCCTGTATCGTAAAAGCTGGTTTCTAAACCCACCTTATTGAGAGAAGTGGGGCTTTCCCGTGCGGCGTAACTCCCAGGCGCGGGAGTAGCCTGAGGGTAAGTGGTAGGATGAGGGGCGGCTGGGTGGCTTTGGCGGGTGTCCTTTGTATCATTGTTACCAGTATTGCATGCTCTCTAATTCCCAGCCAAGCTAGTTAGGTATATATGATGCCAGTATCCGAGTCATGGAAGGTCAGACTCACATGTATTTTATGAATCCTTTTGTAGGCTTCTGTCCTCCATTGTTGGTGCAGGGTTCTCGCAACCTGAATCAGTTTCCTGGATTTTAATTGGAGCATGGTGCTCGGCAGTGTTGCGGATCTTGCACAAAGCTGGTATCAAGTGATCTGTTTGGACAAGAGCGAGCAATAAAATTACCAGTAGTCCTTCCGTTCTTCTTAGGAGATGTGCTGGGCAGGGTTTGTTTCTTCTTCCTAAGAACAGGGAAGAGAAACACCCAGTCTTCTAGACACGTACAGGACTACAGCTTAGTAATTCAAGCCTCTACATGTACAGTACTAGTACGGTACTCCTCTTCCTGAGCCGAGGATCGATACCTCTTTAGGAATAATTCTCGTGAGCCTACTCGTGCCAAGGTTGCAGCTAGGGCGCTGCAACCCCCGAAAATTCACTGGCTCAGTTTTCGGGGGCACTCATCAGCCAGTGAATTTTCGGGGGTTGAAGCGCCCTAGCTGCAACCCTGGCACGAGTATAAAAAAGTATAGCGTGAGCTATGCTCTTTACAGGATTCCATCCACCTACAGAGGCTAATAAATACCATGAGCCTTAAGGGCAATACCCCACTATACCGGATGGCCAATTCTGCGGATTTCATCTAGGACAACAGGATATCCAGAACAGCCGAGAGAGAGGGTTCATGTCATCTGAGGAAAAATAACAAAGGTACATTTTGCCCCTCCTTATAGAAAACTCTCTTGACTATTATCCACGGGCAGTATGATCACAACCGGTAACCGACATGGTAGCTACCATATAGTATGGTCTTCGCTAACTCTCCATAACTGCCATGATATGAGTAGCAGTGATATACTCTACGGCACTTTCATGTCCCTGTTCAAACGTGAGCTTGTAATACCCGTTTACATTTCCTTACCTCCTTCTTTTGCTCTCCCACTGTCCTTGTATTCAGCCTGACTTTTTCTCCTCTTTTGCCCTCGCTTTTCTGGCAGGGGCCATAGCATCCGGTCCGGCAGGTTAATTTTCCACATGAACAGGGGGTATCCGGTCCACTGGGCTCCGGGATGCCGGGGTGCAACTGCACTGTATTTGACATACCACCAGTTTAATACTGTACAGTGCAGTACGTACAGTCAGGCGCCCCTTGCACATGTCAACCAGCAACCAACCAACCCCCCCCCCCGGGAAAAAGGAAAGAAAAGGAAGTAAACAGATTCATAAAACTGCATCCATCAATCAATCCGTCCGTCCGTCCGTCCGTCCGAATCCTCGTCGCAGCCAGACCGATTCCAATTCATGCTCAAGTCCACCCGGAAGTGGGCTATCATATGATACTCCATCACCAACCACCCCATACGGCCGAATTTCAACAACACCAGTATCGTGAGCAAACCAAACCGGCAAAGCAGAGCATCAAATAGTAACCCCCTATAGAACAGAGCAGATCAGGTGAACCTCTCCAACTTCACGTGACGAACCCCGCGTGGTATGATATCACGATACGGCACTCCGCATGGGACGAGAGCCACACGACGATGCCATGATATGGATAGGGTACAAATAATACCAGCGAAGAAGGACCCAGTGTCCGTTGTCGTGAATTCATCCATCCCCTAATCAATCCTCAGGGCGTGAGCTATGATACCCAGTATGGTAATAGCGAAAACAGCGGAGAAAAAATAATAAAAGAAAAGAAAAAAACCATCAATACCAACTCCCGCGATCGTACTCGAGTCTGGTACGATACCATTCCACTCCGCAGCGTGACTCGATTAGGCCATGCGTCAATCCCTAAACATAATATTACCCCCCTCCCCCCACCTCCCCCAATTCTTTCATTCACTCATACCTAGCATGTAAGTCTAGCACAATTATCGTGTTATCAGGAAATACCAAGGCCAGCTATACTGAATGGCCACCCGACCATCGCGACCGCGGCATGGGCACCCCATCCGATAGAATTAGCCTAAATCCGGTTCCTAGTTAAGAAACCAAACATTGCTGCATTCCATACTATGATATCACATAAAATAGCCAAAGCACAATCCATCCGAGTGATTGCACGTGACCATAAAGGCGGGAGTTGCAACCTGCCTCTCAAGGCAAGGCGAGGAGATGCGCCCACATGATTATCAAGGTCTGCACCTGCAATCAGACAAACGCCACCTAGCCTACCCAACTGCACCGCTCAATGCCTTATTTTGAACACCGCTTGCCGCTTCCATGAGCTGACCACTCTTCCACCCCGGCTCCACCGGTTCACGATAACAAGAATTCTGTGAGACTAGACTGCAAGTACAATTTTACTCGATACAACCATTTGGCACGCGGGAGAGGCACATGCTTAGGGACTTTTTGAATTCGTAATATAAAATCTACCCCCCCCCCCACCTTCCGATCCTCCCGAACCGCCCCCACAGATGAGCGACCTGAGCATCGCTGCACACAATGCACCCGCATATAAAAACTAAGCCAACCACAAAACAAGGGATATGTAAAAAGGAGAAAAAAAGTATACAGCTAACTCATGGAGGATTGATTGATGGAGAAAAAACTAAATTATTACTAATAGAACCATTCAAGTCTACCCCTAAAATCTAGACAACAGTCACAAATTGGCCGACGGATGGAGTTCCATCTGCAACAACATAGACAACATAAGGCCCAGGGGGTGCCACATTCTTGTTAGGGGGCATGGTGACGGTAATAGTTTGAGCAGCAGTACCGGCGACGAAGCCGGTGTTGTCGAGGAAGAGCATGCGAAGACCCATGTGAACGGAATGGGTAACGAAGCCACCATAGTAGAGGGCGACCTTAATGCCCTGGGTAGTGGTGGCAGCATTGAACGAGATGGTGAACGTAGAGCCGTTAGCAGGAAGATTCTTGGACGATAGGACCATTGCGGATGGACGTTGAGTAGCCTTAGCGCCCTGAAGATAGGGAGGTATGAACCTCTCGACACGGAAATCTGGGAAAGTTAGCGCAAACCGGAATCTGTGGGCTCGTGATACGCACCGGTAATGAATGGGACTCCAGGCCTTGGTTCCAAGATTGGCATTTCATGCGGGTTGCTGCCGGTAACGAGAACGGTACCATCAAGCAACAAGAGAGCAACCGAGTGATACAGCCTAGGAATAGTGGACGAGGCAAGCTGTGTCCAGCGTGTTCCCACTGCCTTGGCAGGTTCGTAAAGAAGGGCGGCAAGTGTTGGGTCGGTGGCAAGCTCGAATCCCTGAGCACCACGGTTGGCACCATTGAGCCAGAGAACAGATCCGTCAGGAAGCAAGACACCCTCGACCATACCACGTCCTTGGGGCATAGCATCCATCTCCCAAGTCGGGTTGGCATCCTCGGGAGCAATAACACCGCAGCTAGGATCAGTAGGGGCGGTAACATCTTGATAAGGGCCGCCACCACAGATCATCACCTTGGCGTTCCATCCATTGGCGCTGGTAAGAGGAAACATGACGCTACCACCGGTGTTGGGGTATGTGCGGAAATCCCCTGGCAAGTCGGGCATTTGGCGGGTGATGGCGTTGCCACCAATGTTAAAGATCTGAGATGACTTGGCGGTGAAGACAAACAGCTCTCCGTTCTTAAGAAGATGCATGAAAGGATACATCTACCGGAGATTAGCACACTGATACATCGCTAAACCTAGCATCACTTACGTAGTAAGGCTGGTGAGCGACCAAGATATCCATCGGGACATTGACTCCGTTACTGATACCAGTGGGGCTCAAGATTTCATATCTGTGGTGGATCAGTTTCTCTAAATCAAGCGGCAGCACAGGTGGAGAGACTCACGTAGGGTTGTTATTGGCAGGGACAGTGGGATCAAGTCCATTCAAACTTCCAGAGGCAACAAAGATTCGTCCATCAGCAAGAATCTGAGCCGAAGCATACCACCTATTGCTAGCCAGCTTGTTTCCAGGCTCGCGCCAGCTTTGACCGTTAAGAGATCCATCACTCGAGGAGCGGGAGATGTAACGGATGGCGTTGAAGCCATCGCCAACAGTAGGATCAATGAAATCCAGTGGCGCATTGCCGCCAAGCGAAACAAAATCTCCATTTGCAAGGAAGATACCCCCGGCGCAGAAAGCATTGGTCTGGGTTAGAGTGTCAGTTATGATTACAATCTCAGCGAGGAGGTATACAGACGTTGTAAGCCAAGGGAACGACAGTGTTGTCGTCAGGATTGTATTCAGAGGAGTAAGCGAATTGACCGTTAGGAAGCTTCAACTGAGTATAGTTCTCGACCTTGTCCAAAAAGACGACACGACCGTTAGGAAGAAGCCCAGCGTGCATGGCGGGAACACCTGATTGACCAATAATCGCGAATTCGCCTCCGCCGGTAGTAGGGATTGTAGATGGCCCAGGTGCCGGTGGAGATCCGCCAGGCTTGCAGGGGCCCGACTGACATCCGTCACCACAGTGGGCATCAGTATTGCCACAGAACCCGTACATTGAACAACATTCCCCCTTTTCCCAGCCAACACATGTTTTCTGACCATTAGTGGCACCGCAAGTACCATCAGTGGTAGCAATGCCAGTGGGATTGGGGTTGACACCGGTGGAAGTAGGCGCTCCCAAAACCGGCTCGCCAGTGCTGCTAGTTGTCGGGGCAGTAACAGGAGTGGTGCCAGTGCACCCACTCTGGCATCCGTTGGCGGGAAGACAGTATGAATCCCCGCTGCCGCACCACCTACGTGGAGGTCAGTAAAAGGCCAAAAGAATGGAAACCTTTAATAGGTCAAATTACCCGTATTGACTGCAACAAGTTCCAAAAGCCGAGCCAGCACAAGTAGCGCCACCAAACTCCGTTCCGCAGCGGCCATCAGGACGGGCAGCACCACCAGTCGGAGCAGGCGTGGTTGGAGTAGTGCCAGCACCGGTGCATCCAGAAACGCATCCAGTACCGCAGTGCGCTGGAGTGTTCCCGCACCATCCAGCTTGCTACACAAACACGGTCAACACGAATACCTCAAGTATTGGGGACTGATTCGGTAGACCCACCGAGCAACAACCTCCGACATAGTTGTGAGAGTGCGGATCGCAGATCAAACCGCCGTTGGAAGGGCCGCACTTCCCATCAAGAGAGAAATCGCCAGGAGCAGGGATGGGATTGGGACGGGCGATACGGCGGAAGAGTTCATGAGGGGCAGGGATTTTACAACTATTCCAGAGTTAGTCACCAATAATAACGAAAATTAATGATAAGTCCCAAATGTCAAAACGACAGTCCACAGCCCCCCTCCAAATAGGATATATATAAAAATGGTAAATTCCAGAATCATCACGGGGTTGGAGACAATGGAATAAACCCACAGATTTTCCTCCCCATTGCAGTACTGTCCCTTCAAACACTTTTCCGACGCATTCTCAGGAGTGCAAGTGATATAAGGAACGGGGAAAGGGATATTTGCAAAAACTCCATGGGCGAAAAGCGCCGAGAGGACAAAGGCGGTCTGCGTGGTGACCATGATGAACTAAGTCGTGCCTGAAAGCGCACTAATAGTTTGTTCCGTTGCGTTAGCTATCGTCTCAATCGAGTTTGACAAACAAACCAAGCATTGCTTGCCGGAAAAGAGAGAGAAAAAGCGGGAAAATGATGAGAAGAACACAGCTTTAAATGCCAAACGTTCGAGGAAGCGGGATATCGAGGGTGATGGCAAATAGGAAATTTTAAATAGTTCATGCAGGCAATATGTCATGTGCAGACCAATTACCGGTATTGCAACAACCAGCAGCCGGATCAACCGAACCAGATCGCTACTTCCGTATACTTGCCCTGTGCATGCGCCAAAGACATTTCAGATGCAGCGAGGTATCGGTATGTACAAGAAGCCAAAGCAAGGCAAGGCAAGGAAGGAGATGGCTGAACAACTGTCATACCTGAACGAGTGTGGATAAATTTAAAGGGTCCCGTGGAAAAAAGGCTCAGCAAGAAATAGAAAGAAGAGAATGAATGAGTGTGTATGGGTAGGAAAGCAGTCGTTAGAACGAGTCCCGTTGCAAAAACGAACAGCAACTCGGGGATTCCAGCAGAAGATCAGGTCAACGAGTGTGGTGCCGTAAATCGGTGGAGAGGGAGAAAGGAAGGATAAGGGAAGGAAGGGAAGTATTAAAAGGGACTGGGGGGGAGAGATACGATTCAACGAGCGATGGCGACGAACAGCCATTGAAGGGGGGGGGGAGGGGGGGCAGAGCCACCAAATGCAGGCACGCACACACGCAGAACAGAGCAAACAAGTGCGGCTCTTCACCTGGAAGAAGGCATAGGGGTATGGATGCTCATACCCTACGGGCATTCCGTTGGCTCACGGTATTGGTGCCGTGGATAGAGTGAGCTGAAAGGCCCGCAATGGGGCGGACATGGAGGAGTCAAGGGAAACGCTCCACAATGCACAACTGATAGAGAAGACCTCTCTCCTCTCTCTCTCTCTCTCTCTCTCTC